AAAGAATTGATGTTCTAGAGCATCTACTCTCTTTTCTTTTTCCTTTTTTTTTTTTTTTTTTTGAGACTAGGTGTCATTCTGTCATCCAGGCTGGAGTGCAGTGGCACAATCCTGTCTTATGGCAGCCTCAACCTCCTGGGCTCAAGCAATCTTCCTACCTCAGCCTCCCAAGTCACTGGGACTATAGGCCTGTGCCACCAGGCCCAGCTAATTTTTTTTTTTTTTAAGAGATGGAGTCTCTAAATGCTGCCCAGGCTGGTGTTGAACTCCAGGCCTCAAACAATTCTCCCAAAACAGCCTCCTAAGGTGTAGAGATTAAAGGCATGGCCGGGCGTGGTGGTTCACACCTGTAATCCCAGCACTTTGGGAAGTCAAGGCAGGCAGATCATGAGGTCAGGAGTTCAATACCAACCTAACCAACATGATGAAACCCCTTCTTTACTAGAAATACAAAAATTAGCCAGGCATGGTGGTAAACGCCTGTAATCCCAGCTACTTAGGAGGCTGAGGCAGGAGAATTGCTTGAACTTGGGAGGCAGAGGTTGCAGTGAGCCGAAACTGCGCCACTGCACTCCACTCCAGCCTAGGCAAAAGACTCTGTCTCAAGAAAAAAAAAAGGCGGGGCATGAGCCACTGTGCCTGGCCAGGTATTTGCTTTCAAAGTGAGATGTTTGCCCCTAGAGGTATACAAAAAATTCAATGGTATATAGAAAGAAAATACTAGAATTTTTCTTTACTATTTTTTAATGGGGCTATACTAATAGTTTAGCATTCAGATTGAATACTAAAGGAAGGAGGGAAGGAGGGAGAATGAAAGGAGGAAGGAAGAGGGAGAATGAGAGGAGGAAGAGAAAGAAGGAAAGAAAGGAGAAAGAAAAAGGGCTGGGCGTGGTGGTTCACACCTGTAATCCCAGCACTTTGGGAGGATGAGGCAGGTGGATCATGAAGTCAAGAGATCAAGACCATCCTGGCCAACATGGTGAAACCCCATCTCTACTAAAAATATAAAACTTAGCTGGGCGTGGTGGCACGTGCCTATAGTCCCAGCTACTCAGGAGTCTGAGACGGGAGAATAGCTTTAACCTAGGAGGCAGAGGTTGCAGTGAGCTGAGATCACACCACTGCACTCCAGCCAAGCAACAGAGCAAGAATCCGTCTCAAAAAGAAAAAACACAAAGAAGGAAAGGAAGAAAGAAATTTTAGAATATTGGGGCCAAAAAGAAGGAAGTCACAGTTCAGGATCAGGAATCAGAACAGCTTTAGACCTCTCCATAGCAACATAGAAGCAAGAACGCAATGAAAGAATGCCTTTGTAATCTGAAGGAATTACAAATTGTCTATATCCCTATTTACAAATTGTAAATATCCCAATTACAAAATGTCTATATCCCTATCCTATAGACAGGGATATAGACAAATTATTTTTATTTCAGAATTCAATCCAATCAAATTATTAATCAGTGTGAGAAAAGAATACAGATATTTTCAGACACACAATTTCTCAAAAACAGAAAAATTACTTCCCAGAAAGCTCTTTTTCAAAAAGCTATCAATATGCTTCATTAAAATACAGTTATGAAGCAAGAAAGAGGAAGACATGAAGTACCAAAAGTCAGGGGATCAAAACCAGGCGCAAAGGAAGGCAAAGATAAAGGGAAATCCTGGATAAGAGCAGAGGGCAAGGCCAGGCACAGTAGTTCACGCCTGTAATTTCCGCACTTTGGGAGGCCAAGGCAGGAGGATCACTTGAGGCCAGGAGTTCAAGACCAGCCTGGGCAACATAAAACCCCATCTCTACATAAAAACAAAAACAAAAACATAAAATGATAGCCGGGCATGGTGGCGCTTGCCTGTAGTCCCAGCAACCTGGGAGCCTGAGGCAGGCGTATTGCTTGAGCCTGGGAGGTCGAGGCTACAGGGAGCCATGATCTTACCACTGTACTGCTACCTGGGCAACAGAGCAAGACCCTCTCTTTAAAAAAAAAATAGGCAATGTTCCTGTGTGGGGCAGGTCGGAAGGCTCTGGGAGACACTTCTGCAAAGATGATATTGACAGACTCCCTAAGGTGAGTGAGCATATTTAGAGGCTCAAGCAAACTGACAGAAGTCTTGGGGTTGGTAGTGATTAATCTATAACATTTATGGTGAGCTATTATGTAGGCAGACAGTCTTGTAAGACACTTTGCATTGAAAACTTATGCAATAGATGTATTTATTGTACCTATTTTACAGAAAAGGTAAGAAAAGTAGAGCAGATAAGCTAGATAGCCCAAGGTCTCACAACTTGTAAGAATCATCACAGGCAATCTGACTGCAGAAACTTTTTATTTTTATTTTCATATTTTTTTCTCTCCATTTCCACAGGTATCAACAGAGACTTACCTGAAACCATCATTTTATACTGACTCCCCAAGGGCATAGAAATGTTGCCAATTAAGAAAAAGAAGAAACCATTTAACTTCAGGAAAAGCAGAAAATTGTGTAAGAAAGGAAAAATAACTACAATTGTCTACATGGTGGTGCTGTAAATGGCATTTTCATAGTCATAACAACATAAATATTGAATAATAATCTAATATGCAGTGATATTTACAATACGAAGGCTGGGCACAGTGGCTCACACCTGTAATTCCAGCACTTTGGAAGGACAAGACGGGCGGATCACTTGGGGTCAGGAGTTCGAGACCAGCCTGGCCAACATGGTGAAACTCTGTCTCTACTAAAAATACAAACATTGGCCAGGCACGGTGGCTCACGCCTGTAATCCCACACTTTGGGAGGCTGAGGTGGAGGATCACCTGAGGTCAGGAGTTTGAGACCAGCCTAGCCAACATGGTGAAACCCTGTCTCTACCAAAAACACAAAAATTAGTCAGGCGTGGTGGCATGCGCCTGTAATCCCAGTTTACTCTAGAGGCTGAGGCACGACAATCACTTGAACCTGCAAGGCAGAGGTTGCAGTGAGCCGAGATCATGCCACTGCACTCCAGCCTAGTAATAAGAGTGAGACTCTATCTCAAAAAAAAAAAAAAAAAAAATTAGGCGAGCGTGGTGGCAGGCAACTGAAATCCCAGCTACTTGGGAGTCTGAGGCAGGAGAATCGCTTTAACTCAGGAGGCAAAGGTTGCAGCGAGCCGAAATTAAGCCACTGCACTCCAGGCTGCATTACAGGGTAAGATTCTGCCTCAAAAAAAAAAAAAGAAAGAAAAAAAAAACAATGGGAGACTTGGAGGGGTACAGTGGAAACAGAGAGAGAAAGGAAAGCTAAATTCTCAACTTTTTTTCTTTTAGAGACAGAGTCTAGGCTGGAGTGCAGTGGCGTGATCTCAGCTCACTGCAGCCTAAAATTTCTGGGCTCAAGTGTTCCTCCCACCTCAGCATCCTGAGTAGCTGAGACTACAGGTGTGAGCTACCATGCCTGGCTAAATTTTTGATTTTTTGTAAAGACCAGGTTCCCTGGCGGGCGCGGTGACTCACGCCTGTAATCCTAGCACTTTGGGAGGCCGAGGCGGGTGGATCACGAGGTCAAGAGATCAAGACCATCCTGGCTAACATAGTGAAACCCCGTCTCTACTAAAATATAAAAAATTAGCTGGGCGTGGTGGCGCGCGTCTGTAGTCCCAGCTACTCAGGAGGCTGAGGCAAGAGAATTGCTTGAACCCAGTAGGCGGAAGTTGCAGTGAGAGGAGATCGTGCCACTGCACTCCAGCCTGGCGCCTGGCGACAGAACGAGACTCTGTCTCAAAATAAAATAAAATGACCAGGTTCCCCTATGTTGCCCAGGCTGGTCTTGAACTCCTAAATTCAAACGTGTCAACTAAAGTATTGAAAGTGCTGCCCTCTGTGGAACCAAAAATGGAGTAGACAGTCTAGAGAGTTCTGTTTATTTTAGCAAGTCTTTTGGAATTGGTTGATTCTTTAAACAATGTATATTGTTTAACTTTGTGCATGCATTTAAACTATATGGCTACATGATTTAAATAAAAATAATAAAATTTTAAAAAGTGAAGTTACAAATTTTAAGGGAAAAATCAACCTACGTTTTCTTCCAGTCTTTGTCCTTGTCCTCATGGATACATGTGCTGGCTGGGTTCTTTGGAAAGCAGGAAATAAAAGAGAATTAGGAATGCAAACGACAATTGGGGAAGAAAACTTGTGAAAGGAAAGGCCAGAGGTCAAGCACAGTGGCTCACGCCTGTAATCCTGACACTTTGGGAGGCTAAGGCAGGCTGATCACTTGAGGCCAGGAGTTCGAGACCAGACTGGGCAACATGGTAAAACCTCGTCTCTACTAAAAATACAAAAAAAAAACTAGCCAGGTGTAGTGGCAGGAACCTGTAATTACAGCTACTCGAGACGCTGAGGCATGAGAATTGCTTGAACCCAGGAGGCAGAGGCTGCAGTGAGCCAAGATCAGGCCACTACGCTCCAGCCTGGGAAACAGAGCGAGACTCCGTCTCGAAAAGAAAAGAAAAGAGAAAAAAGAAAAGAAAAGAAGAGCCCGCGACCCCGCGACCCCGCGACCCCGCGACCCCGCGACCCCGCGCCCAGCTCCAGCCGCCGCGTCCCGACTGGGCCTTCCCTCGGGAATACCGGGCACCTGCGGCCTCGCCCCTACCTGCGCGTTGCATCTCTGAGAACAACAGTCTCCCTCCCGAGCGTCACAGCCAGACATGGCCCAGACCAGGGACCCGCGCGGCCTCCAGTCTCCGCACAGCTTTGCGCGCGGGGCTTAGCCTGGGATCACGCAGCTAGGCCGCAAATGCAGTCAGGCGACGCTGAGGGCAGTCCGGGGGCGGGGCGAACGGGGCGGAAGCCGGGGTCCGGTAAGGCCCCGCCGTCTGGGATATCCAGCGGCGCACCAGAATGCTCGGGAGGCGTGGCCAATGTGGTTGGAGGCGGGGCTAGGACGGCGGCACGTTAGACCCAAAGGCACCGGAGCGTCTCGAGGCGTGGCCAACCATGCGGAGGCGGGGCCATGACGTCAGGCTGTGCTGCGGACAGCCTATGAAAAAGCCTTGAAGATGGCGGCCTCCTGGAAGCTAGGCTGTGACTTGCGGCTGCTGCGTTACCTCGTGGGCTTCCCTGGCCGCCGAAGCGTACCAGGGCTGATGAAGGGGGCTGTTGGATGGTCTGTAAACCGCGGATCCATTTGGAGATGGTTTCACAGCACGCAGTGTCTTCGGGGTGATCCCATTAAGATACTAATGCTGGCCGGGCGCGGTGGCTCACGCCTATAATCCCAGCACTTTGGGAGGCCGAGGCGGGTGGATCACGAGGTCAAGAGATCGAGACCATCCTGGTCAACAAGGTGAAACCTCGTCTCTACTAAAAATACAAAAATTAGCTGGGCATGTTGGTGCGTGCCTGTAGTCCCAGCTACTCGGGAGGCTGAGGCAGGAGAATTGCTTGAACCCAGGAGGCGGAGGTTGCAGTGAGTCGAGATCGTGCCATTGCACTCCAGTCTGGGCAACAACAGCGAAACTCCGTCTCAAAAAAAAAAAAAAAAAAAATACTAATGCTGTCACTGTCTCCCACAATGGAAGAAGGAAACATTGTGAAATGGCTGAAAAAGGAAGGTGAAGCGGTGAGTCCTTGTGAAATTGAGACTGACAAAGCTGTGGTTACCTTAGATGCAAGTGGTGATGGAATCTTGGCCAAAATTGTGATTGAAGAAGGAGCTGAAAATATACGGCTAGGTTCACTAATTGGTTTGATAGCAGAAGAAGGAGAAGATTGGAAACACGTTGAAATTCCCAAAGATGTAGATCCTCCACCACCAGCTTCAAAACCTTCAGAGCCTCATCCCTCACCAGAACCACAGATTGCCGTGCCTGTCAAGAAGGAACACACACCCGGGACACTACAGTTCCGTTTAAGTCCAGCTGCCTGCAATAATCTGGAAAAAACACTCACTGGATGCTAGCCAGGCCACAGCCACTGGTCCTCGGGGGATATTCACTAAAGAGGATGCTCTCAGACTTGCCCAGTTGAAACAGATGGGCCAGATTACCGAGTCCAGACCAACTCCAGCCCCTGCAGCCACTCCCACAGCACCTTCACCCCTACAGGCCATAGCTGGGCCATCTTATCCCCGGCCTATGATCCCACCAATATCAACTCCTGGACAACCCAATGCAGCAGACACATTCACTGAAATGCCCGCCAGCAATATTCCAAGATTTATTGCCAAGAGATTAACTGAATCTAAAAGTACTGTTGTACCTCATGCATATGCTACTGCTGATTGTGACCTTGGAGCTGTTTTAAAAGTTAGGCAAGATCTGGTCAAAGGTGACAGTAAAGTATCAGTAAATGATTTTATCATCAAGGCAGCAGCTGTTACCCTTAAACAAATGCCAGATGTTAAAGTAAGCTGGGATGGAGAGGGCCCAAAGCAACTACCATGTGTTGACATTTCAGTGGCTGTGGCAACAGATAAAGGCTTAATTACACCAATCATTAAAGATGGGGCTCCTAAGGGTATCCAGGAATTTGCTGACTCTGTAAAGCCTCTATCAAAGGAAGCAAGAGATGGAAGGAAAATTGTTGCCTGAAGAACACCAAGGAAGGTCTTTTTGTACTTCCACCTTGGGGATGTTTGGTATCAATGAATTTACTGCAGTGATTAACCCTCCTCAGACCTGCATTTTGGCTGTTGGGAGGTTCCGACCTGTGCTGAAGCTCACTGAGGGTGAAGAGGGAAATGCCAAACTGCAGCAGCACCAGCTCATCACAGTCACAATGTCAAGTCGAGTGGTTGATGACGAACTGGCAACCAGATTTCTTAAAAGTTTTAAAGCAAACCTAGAGAATCCTATCCGACTTGCCTAATCCTCAAAGATTTGAGTTGCTGTTCGGCTTAGTTGATTCAGCAGTTTTTACCAATAAACATACCTTATAGAAAAACAACTAGGTATTTTAGTATGAAGTGGATGAAATGTTTATTTAAGGTGAAAGTATTTGAGCCAGGGTGTCTTCATTTTCAATTTGGGTTTAATATTATAAAATAAATGATGATAAACTGTAACTAATAAAGGAAATAGAATATTTGGTTACTCAAATCCATTTTTAACCTCTGGTGCTGTATAAAGGGAATATTAAACTAAATGTAAATCAAAGTATATGTTTGGCTCATTTGAGCATTTTAGAATATTTGAGAATGTGTGATACATGTAAAATTAAAAAACTGTTACAACTCTATCATAATTGTGTTGAAGTTAGAAGTGATCCTCAAAGAGACCCATTAACTTAGCAGTGGGACCTCACTTTTACAAGCACTGCTGTAGATACACTTGAAGAATTTAATATGCACAGAAATTTATTCTGGATAATAAATAAGGATCACATTGTATTAGGGGTTATGGCAACTTTATTGGATTTTTATGCACATAAAGCCATACGTTTAGGGTGGTTTCTGTCTTGTTTTTCACTTGTATAACACTATGAACTTCTAAAATGAAAGAATAAAAGAATGAATGAAAAGAAAGACATTTCAAAAATGGTTCAATGAAAAACTATAGTTAATACATAAAAACCTTTCTAGATAAAGTGCTCGCCTTCATCTTGAGTTGGAATATATTTAAATAAATTGTGTTAACTCTTGCCTTAAAAAAGAAAAGAAAAGAAAAGGCTAGCACATAACAGCAGGGGGAGCTGTCAGACTGCCACGCAGAATTGACAAAATCCCCAGCACAGTGGGGAGCTCCGGAGCAAAGATTAAAGGAATTTCACACTGGAAGGGATTGGGCAAGCCATTGTTCCACCACCTAGCTCAGACACTGGGAAAAGAGAAGGACCTCGGTTTGAATATCTAACTGGAGGTTATCAACTCACCACTTCTGAAAGCTGGGCAGCCAGTCCTTGTTTTAAAAAAAAATCAATACATAATAATTTTACACATTTATACTGTACATGTGATATTTTGATATATGTATGGACTATGGAATGATCAAATTAGGGTAATTAATGTATCCATCAGCTTAAACATGTATCAATCCTTTGTGTTGGAAACATTCTAAATCTAGCTATTTCAAAATATACAATAGATTATTAACTATTGGCACCCTTCTGTGCTATCAAATAGAACTTATTCCTTCC